GTATGTATGCATTTATGTGTGTATATATGTATGTATGTATGTATGTATGTATGTATGTATGTATGTATGTATGTGTATATATATGTATGTATGTATGTGTGTGTGTGTGTGTGTGTGTGTGCACGTGTATGAATGTACGTTTATATCAGTATGGATATCAATGTAAAAAAAAATTTAAAAAAAAGTGATTAAATATCATTGCATAGTTATTAGTGGTAGTGATGGTAATAATCTTAAAAGCAAAATTTCTGATTTCGTGAGATGCACTGAAATCCGTATTCATTGACTCAAAGCTGAAACTGTACCAATAAGGGGGCGAACAAATTTCAGTATCCTGTTTGCGGATATATGCGGCTTTACAAATTTGGCATCGGAATGCAATGCCGAAGAGCTAGTGCAACTGCTCAACAATCTCTTCGCACGCTTCGATCATTTGGCGTACAGCAACCACTGCATGAGGATCAAAATCCTTGGCGATTGCTATTATTGCGTATCCGGTCTGCCGGAATACAGGCCAAATCATGCACAGTGTGCCGTCGAAATGGGGCTAGAAATGATCGAAGCAATCAAGTAAGCTGTACACTTAGAAGCATCCATCAAATGCTTCTGAGAATAATCTTTTTTTCCCGTTCTCTAAGTACTTTGATACTTTAATTAGTCGTTGTTTCATCATCGCAGTTCTCATCACTTAATGCAAATTGCCGATTTATTTCTCCATCCTTCACTATTTTACGCATCTCTAATCCACACAGTCCAATAAAGCTGTTTCCAGACCTCGTTTTTCTACGCTCACAGAAAAGTAGGTGAATACGTCACTGTCAGGGATTTTCATCTGATGCATAGGAATTTAATGTGGATTCTTCTTTGCTCTGTTAAAATTCAGTTTTGTTCCTAGATTCATTATTCAACATGGTAGGGATGAAATGATTTACTAGGATTCAGTAATCAGCAAGGCAAATTATTGAAGTACTGTATGAATAAGGAAATTGAGAAGTGTTTCTAAGACCAGGAAGTCTTATATTTTATATTACAACTCAGAGTCAGCACTGGACTTTGATCAAGGAGAAATGAGAGCTTTACTTTTCCTATTGATAATATTTAAAGACTTTCCTTAGTAAATTTTCTTTTTCTTTTTGTGAAGTATTACTAAGCAGATATTAAGCATCTTTCTAGTAGGAGTCACTAAAGTATCGTGTCCTTCATCCCGATTTCCGCCTTATTTAAGGTTAAAGAAAAAATATAAGAAATAATGGTGAAAAACATAAAAAGAATTATTAAAGTAGGTAAGAAATGTTCCGGTCCATTAATTCGTATACACTTATCCTTATCTTTCCGCCATTACGTTCTCATTACAACCGTTTAGTAAAATGTACTTCCTATACTGGTTACGTGCTAAGTAAATATTTTAACGTTGTAGACTGGTGCGAGAAGTGACCGGTGTAAACGTGAACATGCGAGTCGGTATTCATACCGGACGAGCGCACTGCGGTGTCCTCGGTCTTAAGAAGTGGCAGTTCGACGTTTGGAGCGACGATGTGACTCTTGCAAATCACATGGAAAGCGGTGGATTGCCAGGGTAATCTGTTTCTTGGTTTCTCAGATCCAGATTTCTAGGGTACAGTGGGAATCTGTAGTCCTTAGCTAGCTTTGCGCCTATGTTAATTAGCGTGACTAAGAATTCTGGAGAATCACTCTGCTGATCAGATTGGTAATGCTTTTTATCACCCCAGTAGCGATATCTGCTGCCAAGAATTTTGGCACCATTATTGCTCGGGCCGATCAGGATTTGCATCATCTTAGTAGTTAAGCAGAGTATTATGCAAATTGCTGGCTGGAACTTTTTAGTACCGTAGTATCCTTCCGAGAGTTTCGTGCCAAGATGGAAGGGATGGTCGCGAACGGAGCCCTTTGTCGAAAATTGTTCTGGACCGGGAGGGAATCGAACCAGTCCTCTTCGCATTCGGAAGTAATGTGTTACCACTACACTACCGGTCCTTCTGCTCCAGGTTCAGCCTGGCAGCACATCTACTGTGCATCTGCTTCTCAGAGCGGGGTATACCTTTCTTTTCTTCTCAACTTCCCATAGGCAGGACTTTTTCTTTATAGCGGTTTCTTGGTGGCTTTTCGTGGATTTTCGACGACAGGAGAAGAAGGAAAAGAGAAGCTTTAGCCTCTTTGTGCCAATTTTTGCTAATAGAATCAGCAAGATTAGCGCC